AGACAAATATCGGTGGAACAAGATTCTGGCATTGTGCCCAGTCTTCCTGGTACATGTTATTCCCCTGGACTGGAGCTGGTTAACGGAGGCAGCGAACTGGAGTCGGGTCAAGTGTCGTGTGGGAATTTATCTCTGAGTTCCCCATCCAGCGCTGATGGACAGGTTTCTTTAAGGCGGGCTGGCCACAACAGCGCTACTACGGGCAACTACTAATGATCATCCAAGCGAGATAGATCCTGGATCGCAAAGATAATCAAAGATGAACGAAATGAGCTGGCCCTTCAAAAATGTTTGTGGTCAGTTTTGCTGCGCCGAGTCGTGTTATCATCCTTGAGGCAGTCGGCGGTTTTCCATTATCACTTTCTAGCTCTTTTTTCCTCTTTTCGTTCGAACCTGCACTACAGCGCCGAGGACACCCATTTCGAGCAATTGTGACGTCAGCATAAGGCTTCCCTATTGTTCCTTTGACTGGCTTCTGTGGCCCGTGAAACATCAGCGTGAAGCTCGGCAAGCAACGAAAAGTGTCGAATCATCAACCGTAGCTTTCTTGGCGGGAAGTTTTAGGTGAAACGCCCGAAATTGCTGGCATTTTTCTCTTTTTCCGTTGGGAAAAGTGCTTACGGTTTTCGGTGGCACCTGGTAAACAGCTATTTGCCAAATGACTATTTTATGCTCACAGACATGTTTATGATAGAAGCTGATTTTCCAGCACTTTTTTCTTGATCTTTCTGACCGCTGTCCGCTGAAGCGTACCGTTCTGAAGTCCAGATTCAAGCTAAAATCGCAGGAAAAGAATAGATACAATAGTGAATGAATAAATATTCGGTACGTGAGACATTAATGGACGGAAAAAGCAACACAGATCACCTCGTTTCAGTCAAATTCTAGCAGCGAACTAGCTTATTATGTATTTTTATGACACGCTTCCATCCTTACAAAACAAACTGATTTATTCTCTCTGGCCAGAAGTGTTTATATCTGGGGTTGAAAAACATGTCTAGCCAGTTTTTGACAACCTCTTTATTGTTAAATATACTGTTAGAAATTTAATTTGATCGTAATCCGGCGGATTGGTGTCTGGAGAATATAAAGGGTGTGAAAGAACACTTGGAGAACAGCTCCTACGACCTTTGCCATGTATCGTCTGATCTGTCGGGGAGAAAAATGACTTTTTCTTTCTGATCGCTTTCCTTGCATAGCGTCATTCGACTGAGCAACGACCTTTTAGGCTTTTTTTTTTTAAAGTATAAAAGCCTTACAAAAAACAAAGACCTCTCTTTTCACTACACAATGAAATTACGAAGGGCCTGTGGAGAAGGAAAAACGCTTGCGAATAGCAGCTCACAAACACTGGTCAGAAAGGCAATTACTCTTCAACTAACTTAGTGCCCCTGTATACGATTGCTTAGATTCTATAAAAGATTTCAATTAGAGTGATAATAATAGTTGTGTTATAACAGAACGTCGAATATATATGGTATTACGTATTACCTTCAAAGGAAATTACGCGAAGAAATACATCGATTTCTACCTGCCGCCATCTTCACAAGATCGAAAAAGAACTTAGTTTTTCGCTACTATAAGATGCAGCTATAACTTACGTACGGATAATACGTCTTCGTTATTGGTCATACCGATTACTTTATTTTTCTTTCTTGAATGGAAGTATTATTTTGTTATATAACACTGTGAGCACCCGACAGATAACGAAGTTCGGGTCTGTTTTTCGTCCTCGACCATCATTGTTCAAAGCAAAACGTCTCCAACTATCGTTTGAACATTTGCGGTTCGCAGGCAATATCTGTCAAACTATAGAAAAAAAAAAAGAGAGACTTTCGCAGTTTTGAGCAAGCCTAACCCAAGTGAATTGGCAACAATCTTTTATTGTAACTCGACTGATAGCCTTGATTGCTGGGGGTCTATACACACATTATCTCATCTACATTTAGAATTCCCCCGAACTGGAACTTGTCTTCTATGATACAAGAATGACAAATACTCAGCTGATAAAATAGTGAGTCTATGGGATTACAAGGTGAGCCTGTAGAGGTGTGCCACGCCACGTTAAATGAAAGGGATGGAAAAAGGCAGATATGCGAATGGGGCGGCTTGATTTAGGCTCGTTTGCAAACTGGAAACATGATAGCAGGAGATATAATTAAAGGTGGAGGCAAGCAGAGGAATCGTAGGCTTGGATACGCGGAATGTAAGACGAATATCACGTGCTAAGTAAACTCACGTGTTTCTTCCGCTCTCAAATTGACTAGTACCTAAAAACTCTACACATATAGGACGCCGTTGGTGATGGATACGTGCCATCGCCACATCTAAATTTGATCTACGAACGGGAAAAAGGAAGCCGCAGGACAGAAACTCGCCGAGGCGTTCGAATCCTACATAAATTTGGTTTTGCGAATGAAACGTTTGAGTATATAAGCTTGGTACACAGAAGCTGATGGAAAAAACGCTGTGCAGTTATTATGTGCTATATCGTAATTATACGAGCTCGAAACTTCAGCACGCGGGGTCTCCGACAATCCGAAGTCGAACTCCTCGCCGGCTATAGGCGAATTTATTTTTAGAAATGATTGAGTAACTGATTAACTTGCTAATTGCTCTTCAATTCATATTGAAATAACCAAGGCATGAATTACAATCCATGCGATTCTACTTCGTTAAAATACGTTTTGCTTCTGGGAAATAACCCGATCCAAAACATCCCAAATAAACCGATCTGAAACGGACTTATCAGATATGCAGATTTCCTATCGCCGATTTAGTTCGCATACTGGATCAAAGTGCAGTTGTACAGAATAGGAGGTCAAGATTTTTTTGATCCTATAAATTACTGTATGCATTACCCGACGTGACCTTCACGAGGCCGCTATTTACTTCATAATTCAAATGATTTTTCAAGCCCTGAACGTAAACTACGTGATTTCAATGAAAAAAAAAACAGCAAACTCTATTGAATAAACATTGCACACTTTCAGAGGAGCTTGTCGCCAGTGCTACGACCGGGCCGTGTTAAAAATCGTCTGCTAGTAAACAATCTCACTGACAACACTGATCCGTGTCATGATGAATTCCTTAGCCATACGCCGACAAAAGAAAAAGATTGGACTGATTATCACGCCTCTGACTATTTCTTCCGTAGCTCACTTCGCGATCGGTTACTACTGGTTCTTTGTCGAGGAAGCAGAAACTAGCTGAGGCAAATCAGGCGCAATAAAATATGCATTTAACACGTTCAATAAAATAGGCCGTTTCGAATGTCCACTGCCATTCTAACTCCCTTTTCCGGTATCGCTATTAGGCATTCCATTAGACGGCTGGCTCGCTGTACGAAACGAACCGTGTATATACACCCGGCTTAGAACCTACGTGTCGCTAAAATTTGCAGACAAATACATTACCCTATCACGGGAACGATTGTCCTTGCTTCACAATATTTATGCTATTTCACTCTGCCTACAAGGCGAACAGCCAGACTAGGATAATGGGAGGAAAAGGTACGGAGATAATTATACTTTATCACTGATGATAGAAGTTGACGTAAGCTTCAGGCAAGCTTAGGACCAACAACGAAAAATAAAAGAACTTCAAAGGAGGAGCGTCGATTTGTTGTTGGCTACCAAATCAAGCTAGACATATTCTAGAGACACTTTTGGCCCGTACTTGAACACGTATAGATATAGGTATGCAAGGTAAATGTCTGTAATCGTCAACGCTGCTGTAGCGTTCGCTACGCTTGCATAGGCTCCAACTAGACGGAACAATGAAATGCAACACATTCCCCTTAACAACATGTAACAAATAATAACGTAATTTCGGAATGTTGCTCATGAGTTCAGTACCTTATTACAGTAGGATTATTTTTAGTTTTTTTTTTTCTCGTCGCTGAAGTTCAACGGCTGGATACGAAAGAGCCTGCTCAACAAACAGAATATAATATTTAATTGACGAAGAACATACTGCAAGGTGCCATCATTAGTCGCAGTGAGTGAGCGTTTCGTCGTTACTAAAGCTTAATAGAGTGGATGGAGAGAAACATATTATTTCATTAGATCTGTACGTATAGACATTATCGAGAAAAATTGTTAGGGAAGCGGTAAGGTTCCAGTCAGTATAGGACGGCATTTATGAGGGTGCGATGACCTGATGGATTGTTTTAACACGGACTTATCGCCTACTGTTTAGTATGTTTGGCTAGGGGACAAGGTGAATAAGCTGTTAGTGTGGCTCCCTCACACTGCAGTAGGTAAAATCTGAGGTTGTCATTGAAGCAAATATGTCACGGTGTCCAATTGTATTGACAACAAACATTTCGTTGGCTAGGTAGTAGTTCGAGAGCAGTTTATATGGATCAAATGGCGCTCAAAGCACAGCTCAGTATACCAGATCTCGGTCCATGTTAAAAACGAGTTAGGACTAAATGAACTTATATAAGTGTGCTTTAATAAACAATGCGGTTTGATGCTAAATACATTCAGCTATTTTTTCTCTGTCGACTTGCTCAGATCAATTCTGCTTATGCCCCCATCATCGAAACAGGTCGAGCATAAGAACCGAAGGAGAGCTAGTTTTTTAGGTGCAAGTTAATAGCCTCTCTGGAGTTTCGTAAGCATCCCATAAATCTGACAAATGACGTTCACTATCTGTACACAGAAGAAATATGTTTCTAAACAGAGTGATTAACAGTTACTTGCTGATTTATTTATTTATTTATCGTAAAAAAAATTGACTGCTGCTATAATCATTGCGCTGAAAAACGAAAGGAAGCCTACTCGTGTTACTAGATTATCGCAGGCTGGTGATGATCAGGTCGAAGATGCTTTAAACCAGCGTAGATTTTTGCACTTTGACACAAAGGTTGGATTAATTTGGTACGTTACTCAAGCTTGGCACAATTCACGAAGCTATTGAATTTAACATAGTCAGCGATATTTATTTTCATCCGATATCGAATTCACTTGAGCCTTTTATGCTGTGAAACACAGATGTTACGTGTCCAAGCGAAATACGCGACGAGGCACTTCTCTGTCTTCAATTCGACATATCACGCGTCCTCCAGTCGAGTACGATCGTTCGCGCTGAAATTGGCATCTTTTTCTTGTCAGGACACAACCAGTCATTCAACTTGAGAGAAATACGGAAGAACTTTTTAACTGGTCCCCGTATTACCGGCGCTTCGTCTCAAGGTAGGGGTTGCTTTTGTCTTTAAACACTTTTGACTTTCCTTGGTAACCGCCAATAACGAAAGTAGAGCTGCTTGACTATTAGCGCCATAATGATCAACTTTACTCGCCACTATCCAACCTAATCTACAATCCTGATATAGGGTTTGGTCTAAGTTAGCCTGAACTAATCTAGGTTAAACTTGTTCGCTCTTTGACAGGATGGGTACGTTTCGACGCAACTTCGTTGGTGGCTCGTTGGGTCAAGGATACGAGCGAGGGAACAAGGGCTTCGTCAACACGAATTGTCCAGCTAGCTTGTCCTACCTGTATTAACGGGACCTTCAATCAAATTCGCGATGCTAAGGAATCACCTTTCCTCTTCATTTCTATCGTTCCGCAAAAATCCAATCGACGACTAAAGCGCAGTGTTGAATGTTCGATGTCAAACATGCAGAAAGGTTGTTGCAAAGCTCCGTTCGAGGTCAGCTTTCACGATGACATTGGCTGGCGTTGGATCGTTGTGCCGAAGACGTTCACGCCGAATTTTTGCCGGGGTCAATGTGAGCTTGAGGTGAATATGCTGGGTCCCCACGGCTTGGCAAAGAACAGCTACATGAAAGCGTACCCTGTTAGAGCACAGAACATTGAGTTGGCCATGTGCTGCGCTCCGAAAGTGCTTAAACCGCTTACGATTGTATATTTCGTCAACAAAGACACCCTTAACGTCACCACGATACCGGACATGATTGTTGAGGATTGCCACTGTACATAAATGGTTAACACGGAACGAACTTCTCCTGTCCCCACACCGCTTCTAACTGTTTATACAGTTCTTTGATAAACAGCAAATCGACCAGTTAGATCAATGATAAAGCAGGCCTCTGATGCTCGAACGAGCTTTAACCGGTTATCGCAATTCATTCCGCCGAAGATTCAAACTGTGAAGATGAGATCAGGCTAAGCGTCGATTTTGTCAAACAAAGCGATACTCTTTCGCTGCGAACGCCACCGTGTGCAGGATATAATGGACTCAAACTTTTTTCTACTTCAATTAGATCTACGATTTGTCTAGCTTTCACAAGAGGTAGAGGTTACCACGTGCTCACTTCCTTGATCCCGCTTCTCTAAACCAATGAAATCCCAAGTGTCCTTTAAGTATTTTATAAACTGCTGATAAGTTATATGGAATAGTGCCGTGATTAGTGGCCACGAACAATTGTTGTCGCTGCAAGACAACGAGTGATAAACAGGAAACAATCATTTAGGTATAATTTAATTTAATTAGGCAACTTAACTGAGCTAATAAGTAATAATAATTAAGGTAATAATTTATTCTAGTGTCGATATATATGCATATAGTATTATAGCAGATATAAATATACATATTTACATAAATATGTATATACATATATATATATATATATATATATATATATATATAGAAAGAAAGAGAGAGAGACACAGATCGCACATATGTAACTCACTGTCCCAGTAGAGATAAGAAAGCAAGCGAACAGAAAAAAACAGGAACGAACAACAAGGAACACCATATCATCGCTCAGTGATGTTGAAAAACGATGTTAAAACTGTTCAAACCACAACCTGATTCAACAAATCCTCCACGATATCTAGTGGTGTCATTATTTAAATGGTATCTACGCTTGTCGTCAACAGCACCAATGGTTGGGCAAAAGAATCATGAATAGCTTTAGATTGCACGACCGATAAAATGGTTCCCTCATTAACGACAACGCTAGCCAACTGACAGCTATGGCAACACCAAAATCTCGACTCGACTCGAGGGGTAAATGGGCCAAATGATAAAACCCAGATGGAACATATCATCCATCCAAGGGCAGAGATGACTTTCCCAACATTCGACAATGTCTGTCCTATTTTACCCTAGATGAGCGAACTGTTCTACACGTAGATGGCAACCGGTCCCGCAGTGATAATTACTATTAGGACCGATGATGAATCTCTCTTTAATCAATCGTCGCTTTAACCGAATCGAAAAGTGTTCAATGAGTTCGTTTGCTGTAGGTGTGTCTGTTAGCAATTATGTTTAACAGCCGTGTCTATCAAAGTGGTCCACTGAAACTGATGACCCGCACCTGACAATGAACACCCATTCGTGTTGTATAGTAGTATTTCATCCCCCAGTCTTCCTCTTTGTTATTCCTTTATGCCCTAGATTTATCTGTTACCCAATTTCCTTGCCTTCCATACCTTCGCCTAATCTTCGGTCTCAACGCGTAGCTCTTTCGGATATGCTGCAAGTCGAATCGTTTGTGTGTTGACTCTGTAAATAAATGCACGTAAAATATATGAAAATACATGCACATTTGGGCTATTTACTGTTGCTAGCCATAGCTATTCGGGGCTTCGCCCTGTTGATGAAAGGCTGCTTGAGTGGAAAACTTGCTCGGTGTTTTGACTAGCTTTGGTATTATCTCAGTTTGCAGAAACGCTATTTTCGACTGATAACTCCAGATCGATATGTGTTAATTGGTAGATTGTATAAGATTGTATAGAATTCATACAATGGGGTGTGCACGCAACCTTGGTGATAAACTGAAAGGTTTGCGATGCAATCTCTGTTGATTTATAGGTACTGGTTAAATGATATAGAGGCCGCGGGGTGAACCCACAGCCTTAATTCAGGCCGCGTTCGTGTGGCTCAGGACACGGCCTCGTCGGGACTATTTGCGGATCCATGCTGGAGCTGGCGAGGCGAGGTGGATCCAATCGAATGGTGCATTTTTACCCGGATAAGGTGTGCCTATGTTTTAATCCGGGAGAAGCAACGGGATTGTGGAAAATACTGTTAAATGGACTTATCACTTTTAAAGACAACTTCATTCTAGGGATATGTTATTATTCATATATGAATAGTTGGAAATAGAAATAGAATAGAAATTGGATTGAACCAGACTCGTCTAATACTGATAGACAATAGTAATAATAATAGTAGTTACTAATTGGGTTGGGGACACTGTCGAGGCTCAGACAACGTTTTTTTTTTTTTGCAAATAAATGACTACCTGATTAGCGCACTTTATCAGGACAATAGGTCAAAATACATATGAAACTTTTTACAGCCTATTTAATTCTCTATTAATGAACTTCAGTCGCGATATCCAGCCGACCTAATCGATGCAACAAAACATACAGGAATTATTAACTTCAGGTCCTAGTCTCAGATATATTGTGCCTTATGCAAACACATTAGACAGCTGAATGGTCACAACTTGTTAGGTAGAACCTATGAACTGCTTAGATAGGATCTAAGCATATAGTTTTCATTTGTTTACCCCAAATTATAATTAGTGATCGGCCTGCAAGTTTCCTCTGAAATTTTAAATAAATCATATTGTTGTATATATAATTCTCATGATAATAGACATAGAATAAGAGGTAATATATGGTGTACCAACTAAGTATGAAATAACTTCAACTGAATGTCTTGCCGCATCAAAAAGCTTTTTACCAGTTACACAACAGCTCCAAAGTAGGCACGTTCTAATCGCAACAAAATCATGACTACGACAAACCCAAATTTGGCCTGAATCTAACCCCTTTTCATTGGCTTAGTGCTTAGTTGAGTGCAATCTTACTGACTATACTTAGCCATATAAAATTCCTATAACTTGAATAATTGATTGACTCCCATAATATACTGCATGTCTATTTCTTCGTTTTCAAAGGTCGTCAAAGGTAAGCCGCCTTTTTATTTCACAACTCCTCAGAAAATTGCTTTAAATCCATAGGAGCATATGCACGATGTCGCAAAAATTGTGGCTTGCAGATCTTGTTAGTGATTTAATTAAGGAATAATCAATTAAACGAACTTCTTATAATTAACTCGAAATAGTACCCGATTTTTGTTATTGCTCATTTTTTTCCGTTTAGTACGGTGCGTCAACCATCTACACGTCCAAATCCACCCTGTCTGTCCATTATTTTCTTCCTTCTGGTTATTTGTCGACATATGTCCTCCGATTCCTTTTTATTTTGCCTGTGATTCCGCATGACCGTAAATCTGACATCTTTCTCTTTCTTTCCTTGGACCTCATTTGATTCCTATCGTGGTCGAAGTTGGAATAGTATTTTTCCTAAAGTTAAATTCGAAAAATTTCTGATCGATAGCAGTACAAACGGTAAATGTCCAGTAAAAGAATTGCCTCTAGGCCCTCCGCTTTTGCCAGGTCCGTTTAAGTCTGTGGCTCGCCGCCTTACTGTTGCTTGCTTGGTAAAATCAGTACCTTTTAGTGTGATAATTTTAAACTAAAGCAGCATTTCATTTAGTTAATATCAGTGGGCAAGCGGCCTTCCATCCGCTAGTAGTTCCTGGGGATCTCTCTACGCCTCCCGCCTAACTTTACTTAGAATTTCGTAAAGATGGGATTCAGCTATGGTGGAGAACTGTTCGAGGGAACTAGGAAGCCCATATTTCCTGCCCAGGAAACAATCCTCTCACGCGTTTCTGTGCATTTTGTTCCCATAGAGGGAAGAGGACTTTTTGAAAAGGGGGGTTACATTCTGCCTGTCGTCGTATCAGCAGGCACTCATCATCCAGGGTCCCCATTGCCACAGTGGCTCGTAAGGCAGTGCGTATCACATGTCCTGTTTCGGCACTCTATTAAAACACGCCGCCGCTTTAGCTGAAGGGAGTGACTAGCTGACGCTGGGAATTTCAGTGGTCTCCTCCTACTCGAGCTCATAACGGGCTGGCCGTTTTGCATAACATACATACAACGATATACGGGGGTTTGACAAGGAGCGGATCGGCAGAAATAACCCGGCTGAGATACGTGGAAATACAATGCTATCACTACCGCTTAGCGATAGAAAGCTCCTAGCAAACCTCTCAGGCTGCCTTTGCTCGTTTCCCCACTTCGGTTAATCAAGATGCTACGCTTGGAGTTTTCATCACTTGCTCATCTGGACACTGGAGCCGTTCTATCAACGCGACATGTATGGCCTGACTTGTAAAGGTAACTAACAAGGTAACCCTTTGAGTGCTTTGTTTTGACTGCGTTTCGGTACAACGGGGGCAACCTCGTCAAGCATTGGCTCTTTAAAGTTGTGACCGTCCATCTCTTAGACCGTCAGATCTCTTTGTTACCGAGTCAACTGTATCTACAACATCAAAGCCGAACCACACTGTGCAAAGCAAATGATTTGATAAATCATTGCACCATCTTGTTGACACGTATGTCGTCCTTAACATACAATTTGCCTCTTGTTTCATGTAGTTTTTTTTAAGTAATATTTTCCTTCTAAATTATTCCACACAGCCGAGTAAAGATTTCACTTAATAGTAGCGAGATAATTATCGGATCCAGTTCATGACTGTCTAACCCAAAACGTCTTCGACACGAGGTATATGAAAGCTAGCGACCCGTCAGAAAAAAATCTATATCCAAATAGTACTACTACTACTACGTCCTATTGATAACGAAGAAAGAGACGGAACATTGTAATTAATAAGAGTCCTCTTTTTTGTCCCTGTTCCCGTAAAGCCCTTCCCTCGGATTGTAATTACGTTACAACAGCGTATATCATAGATGGTTACTAACCAACATTGCGAGCCGGCTCAAACTTACCCCTATATATAGAAAAAACGTCTCAACGTTTTGTGACATATGAGACGCAAGAGTCACCTAGTGGCCTAAGCGAAGCAATATGAGCAAGCGGCTAGCTGTTTTGACTTCGAACCCCCATTTCTTCCCGTCCCTCTTTCTTTTTGTTTGCAGACGACATCACTGCCCTCCGTAATTTATTAACGTTGCAATGTTTGAAGCGTCGCAGAGCATTGTTGCTTCGTGTCTTTATGTTGCTAACGGCAATGATTAACTTAAGGCCGTCTGTATTTCATCCGTCAGCCTCCTTGTATTGTCTCGTTGCCACTGAAGCTTGCTACAACTATATTGCACAACATAGAAGAGATAATAACAAGTTTCTATGACACGGAGTGATCTTTTGCGCGAAATATAGAAGTAGAACATGCAAGAGCAAAAACAATCATTTTCAGCTCTCCCCCGCCGTCGACGCATTTTCCAATTTAATTGACAATATAATACTAAATAACACTGCAAAACGTATGCATTACTGGCCTCCAACTAACGTGAGGCTCATGCAGTGCAAATAATATAATAGAAGCTGCCTATTATAAATGTT